GGACGCCTGGAATTAAGTCGGCCTCGGGGCCATCAAGTATGGATCCGGATCGAACGAATTACGCAAAGGGATGCCTGGGATTCCAGCCACTTGAGCAGGGATGGACCGTCCCGGCATTTCGATAGGCCTGCCACGACATGTTCATAGAACAAAAGAATGTTCCAACCACAAATCCAACCACAGAAAACAATGTTCGTGGAACATGAAGCCGATATTTCAAAACAAGGCTGCCTCAACCAAACATGTTCTCGGAGCCTCCCATGCAAACCGCAAAAGGTTCTCAGACCATTCTGTGGTGGGCCTCTAGGCAAGCCAGGGCGCCCCTCGCCACTGCTTGAGCCACGGCGCGCGCGGTATGACCCAGCCCCCTGGGCGCCCAGAGATGAGCACACCCTGAAGGCCCCCCTCTGGGGGGCAGCGATCGGGGGGGACTGCCATAGAGTGGATGCACCCCCCGATAGTGAGTGCGCACCTTCCTGTGCAGGTTGGGGCTGGCGGGCCCCTTTTCGGCGATCCATGAGAGATTGGGGGTCGATGCGTCCCCCCCTACTGCCTATCCCCCCCCCTATCGTTGCCCCCGACCCTCCCCCCCAGGGGTGCGGTCGGGTCGCGCCGCGGCGGCTCCGGCGCTGGTCCACGGGCACAGCGTGGGCACGGTGAGGGCGTTTTTTTGCTGCCCTTCCAGGGCCAGGAGGCCCGTGAGTGAATTCGTGCCTGTCTTCGGATTCCGCACTACGGTCAACCCGCATAACAAAGGATGCGCGGCAAGGGTGCAGGGGCCTTGAAGGCCAAGTGAACGTTTTTCGAGCGATGCTGACCAGCCAGAGTCGCCAAGGATGAGCCGGAGGGGAAGCAGATGCAAGGCAAAAGGGTAGCCTTGGAAGGTGGCTCCTCCTTAAATGTGCGGGTTCGCTGTAGCCGACGCGGCCGCGGCCGCGGCCGCCGCGGCCCAGGCGGCCGCCGCGGCCGCGGCCGCCCCCCGCGCCGCCTTGGCCCCGCACCCTTCGGCCCAGCCCGACCTGTGGCCATCGCTCGGACGTCCATTCCCTGTGCTTTTTTCGGTTTCGTGCGAGGTTTTTTCGCCAAATGATCAAGGATGCTCCTCGATGGCCCTCGCCGAGAAAAAATGCACACGTCCGAGCGATGCCAGGCGACCGCGGCGGCAGGCGGCAAGCTGAGGGGCCCACACGGCGGGCGTTCTCGCACCGCGTCGGGCCCCGGGACCCTTGCAGATCGAGCCGGCTCGAGAGAGGACGCAGAAAGATAGGGTCTGGGACTCGTGCCGTGTTTTTTTGGGGGGGCGATGCTGCGTTTTTTTTCGCGACGTCGGATCTGAGGGGAGCGGGGTACGGTGAGGGCAGTGGAGAAGAATTCCTTGGATGTGTGTTGCTTCCATCGTACTTAAGGATCACATCCCAGAAATAATTTCGAGCACTCAGAAAGGTATCGAAACAGTGTCGAACGAGTATCGTCTCCCAAGGATGGACACGTGAAAACCCTCCAGTTTCGGTACTTTGGTGATCGAAATTCTTTCTGGTGATCAGGGCTAAAGTGAGCTGGAACGTCATAATCGCTGGTAAGGATTCGAAGCTGGTGAAACTTCGATCGTGGACTGGCCACGGACAGCAGCGCCGCACTCATCCATCAGTTAAGGGGTCCTCCAGGCTCTGAATCCTCCTGGGCACATCCCTGAACTAACGCCGCCACCGTAGCAATTAAACCTTTAACAGTCGGCGCCTTCTTGATCGCCAGATCAAGATCGGTGCTTTCTTGATCGACGATCGGCGCCTTCTGGATCGACGATTGATCGCCTTTAAACGATCAAAGTTGGCTCATTCCAGGACGCTGGTGGCGTTCAACCTCGAACGCCCGCAGCGCGGTCGCTGCCACGTCGGCACGACACGAACCTACCGTATGTCTGTTCTACGGCATGACTGGTCAACATTGGATCGGCAAATCGGATCGCATCGAATCAGGCTGCATCGGCACGGAATCGACATCGAATCGGATCGGCTGCGCCAGGATGCACAACAACGCCATGCAAGCATCGGGCCGCACTGGCTCCTCGGAACTGGAGGAGGAGGCGGAGGAGGAGGAGGAGGAGGAGGAGGAGGAGGATGAGGTGGAAGGAGGAGGAGGAGGCGGCGGAGGAGGAGGAGGAAGAGGAGGAGGAGGAGGAGGAGGAAGAGGACGAGGAGGACCCTGTAGAGGGAAAAGGAGGATGATGATGATGAGGATGAGGAGGAGGAGGAGGAGGAGGAGGAGGAGGAGGATGAGAGAGGAGGAGGAGAAGGAGGAGGATGATGATGAGGAGGAGGTGGGAAGAGGAGGGAGGAGAGGAGGAGGAGGAGGAAGGAGGGAAGTGAAGGAGGAGAAGGAGGAGAGGAGGAGGAGGAGGAGGAGGTGGGAGGAGGAGGAGGAGGAGGTGGGAGGAGGCGGAGTCGGAGTCGGAGTCGGAGTCAGAGTCGGAGTCGGATGATGAGGAGAGGGAGGAGGAGGAAGAGGAGGAGGAGGAGGAGTTGGAGGACGAATAATACAAATAATCATCATTTGAGGAGGAGGAGGTGGAGGAGGAGGAGGAGGAGGAGGAGGAGGAAGAGGAGGAGGATGAGGAGGCGGGGAGGAGGAGGGAGGAGAGGAGGAGGAGGAAGAGGAGGAGGAGGAGGAGGAGGGGGATGTGGGAGGGGAGGAGGTGGAGGAGGAGGCGGAGGCGGAGGCGGAGGAGGAGGAGGGACCCTGCACGGGGGAGCTGGGCCTCCCTTGAGCTTCGGCCGCAGGGGCCCGCGCCGCTGCCGGGCGTCGCCTCCCCGATGGCCTCGGGCCTGCCCGCGAGCGACAGGAGCCCCAGGGCGAAGAAGGCCAGGACCTGGAGGAAGAGGAGGAGGAAGAGGAGGAGGAGGAGGAGGAGGAGGAGGAGGAGGAGGAAGAGAAGGAGCAAGAACAGGAGGAAGAGGACGAGGAGGAGGAGGAGGAGGAGGAGGAGGAGGAGGAGGAAGAGGGGGATGAGAAGAATAATAAGAAGAAGCAGAAGAAGAAGGAGAAGGAGCGAGAGGATGAGGAGGAAGAGGACGAGGAGGAACTGATGGGTGGAAGCTATTGCGTGGCGTGTCGCGGCGGCGGCCCTGGCTCCACGCTATGTCCTGCAAGCGGGTAGCGTGTCGCTCCGCTCCGCGGGGCGGGAGGCGGGGAGAAACTCATTGACGCCTGGGGGGCGGGACGTGGACAGCGTGTCGCGCCGAAGCGTGGTGAGCCGAAACTGGCGGCACGACACGCTGAAGCCCAAGCCTCCGACTGTCAGCTGCCTCAAACGATCCAAGCCCGGGAACGCGAGGCGGGATCCCCGGCGAGCACCAGCACACTTTGGGCCTGGCGTCCGCGGTGCGCGGGTGTGCGAGGCGGGTCGGGAGCCCTTCTCTTAAATCTGACAGCCCCACCCTGCCTGTCAGGTGGGCGAAAGCCGCATAAACAGAAGGTCTCGAGGCCTGTGCAGAGTTCTAGGGCGCCGGCCCGGCGGAACATACACGAAGAACATTAAGGTACACGTCGTTCATTTCTAATCGTGCTCATTGCTAATCGTGCTCGTCTCTTATTGTTCCTGGCCCCCTAGTGGACGGGAAGAGGCCCAGGATAGAACAATTAGAAATGAAAAGGATCTTGGCCCCCCCAAAAAATCACCTAACGTCAGAATACTTAAAGATGAGCAATGTGTGTACCCTCCCCGAACCGACGTCGATCTGCTGCCTCGGCCGGGCGTTAGGCTCCCGGCAGGGTGACCTCGCGTTCCTGGACGGAGGTGGGCCGTCAGGCCCTGCACGGGCGATCCACGGGCGATCTAGGGGGCAAACAAACCTTCCAAGAGATACCAAGCGATGCCAAACTACGGCATGTACTGGTCAGGCCGCTTGACGAGGAGGCGTATGGTATGACTTGGTTTTGCCTGGAAGCGAAAGCGGGGTAGGTAATTCACGCTCTGACGATCAGGGGGCGATGCACCTCCCCTGACAGCTGAGCCCATCACTCCTTCACGTTGCCCCTTGGCTTTCGGTTGGGCGCGAATCGAGGGGGGGAGGGGAATACGAGAGGGGGGAAGGAAGGTGCCCTTTTCAGTCCCTATAGGGCCCCCTTAGGGTGCCCAGAAGGGCCCTGCAGGGGCCCCGAAGGGCCCTTTTTCGGCAGCCCTCGCTGCCCCCCCATTCATCGCCCCCGACCAGTTCGCGCCCGATTCGGGCCATAGCTCGGCTTGCCGGTGGTCGTTCGGGACGGACCCGGCACCCCCGGAACGCTTTCGGCAGCTGCTGGAGAGCATCCCGAGGCTGGAAAACCCAGAGAACCGACGAACAGATTCAACAGCTTCGAACCTCGCACCTCCCTGAGACGCCCCTGAGTTAGCTGCCCCAATACGCCTCACGCAACCCGTAGCGTGTTGACACGGAGCTCAACACGGTGATTGAAAACGAGCGCTTGGCGCGGTGCGTTCGCCCAAACGTGGACCAACACGCTGAGCCAACGCGCAGCGTGTTCAAAAGGGTGGTTTGAACATCATACATGTTTATGTTGCGGTACGGGCGTACCAGGGCAGCTACAAGCGAACAGGTGACCAAAAGCCACTATCATGTAAGACATCTGGGCCAGATTCCCAGAAGTTTCTTGACACACGCCTGGGCCGAATCTGTCGTCAAAGCCGGGGGGGGGGTCGTGCTCAAGAAACTGGGCTAGCTTTCTGGCAAGCTGGTCAAGAAACGTTGCCCCAGCTTTTCGGGAGGAGGTTCCCTAATCAGATGCTCGACTGTAAGTCTTCTTCCGTTTGCCCCCCGATCATAGGGGGAACGAACAATGACATCAACATAACAACTCGGAGGTCCGCGCGGATTTCTCGCATCGGCGCTGGGGCCCCCTGGCGGCGCCTCCGGCGCCGCCCCTGGTGCGCTCCGCGCTCCAGGGATGGGGGTTCAGCCCGGATCCGAGAACTCCGCGCGGACCTCCGAGTGTTTGCATGTTTTTGTCATGCTTCGTCCCCCTACATTGCGAGGCGGGGATTGATCCATATCCACCGCCTGGGAACCGACGTCCTGGTGTCCCAGCGGGCGGTGGATATGGATATATCTCGGCCCCCGGTGGCCCGAACATGTCCATGTCCACCGCCTGCCGAGGCCCCGAAAACTGGACCCGCCAGGCGGTGGTAATGTATATATTCTCTCCTCGGGTATCAATCAGACTCTGGCGTTGGCAGAACTGGGCTTAGTGGGACCTGGTTTCGTGATGTGTACCGGGGGGCGCCCCCCCCGTCCCATTCCACTAACTGGAATTGCCGTAACCCGAACAGCATCAGCTACGGCAGACCTGGCTCAGTGATCCCAATCCATATTTGGGGCTTCGGGGACCAATCACTGACCGGCTCCCCTGAACCCGGGCCCTGGCTATACCCGACGGACCGCGCCCCACTTCAGCATGATGCCCGCGAAGCCGGCATTCCCCTTCTGCCGCCGGCCAGGGAGGCATCTTCGGGCGCGCCGCCCCGCCGCCCCCACAGAGGCGCCCGCGGCCTGCCCGCGGGCTCGGCTAGCGGACCGGGGCCGGGCCCCCCCCCCCCTCCGGGAGCAGGCGCGAGGCAGGCCAGCAGACGCTGCCCTTCCCTCCTTCACCTCTCGCCTCCACCACCTCCACCTCTCGCCTCTTCCTCCTCCACATCTCGCCTCCTCCTCCTCCACCTCTCGCCTCCTCCTCCTCCTCCTCCACCTCTTGCGTCCTCCTCCTCCTCCTCCTCCTCCTCCTCATCCTCCTCCTCCTCCTCCTCCGCTCCCTCCTCCGCTCCCTCCTCCGCTCCTCTTCCTCCTCCTCCTCCTCCTCCTCCGCCAACACCACCTCTCGCTTCCTCCTTCGTCCTTCCTTGTTCCTGCTCGGTCCTCCGCCCACCTGCGCCTCCTGGCCCTGGCCCTCCCAGTCTTGTCCACATCCATCTCCTCCACCTCCTCCTCCTCCTCATGTCGTTGCTCGGACATCTAGGTTAACATGTTGCGGGCGGAAATGGTTCAGAACAAATAGCCGCTTTAGGTGGGCGGCAAACAACTCAGGCCGCGGACGGGTGCGGGGCAGTGAGGCAAGCAAAGAATGGTGGCCCACGAGGCCGGGAGTAACCCAGTCTGCGGCACAATGAGATGAGGAATACCGGTGAAAACTCCCCCTTCCGGTGGCGGTCCGGAGGGCCCGAGCCCGCGCCGCGCGCGCGCCAGCGCGCCAGCGAGCGGGCGCGGACAGGGAACCGCAGACGCGGTTGCGAGAGAGAGAGAGAAGGGAAATACGAAAGGCGAATGAGAGGAGGAGGACTGCCCGACCCCCCCAGAGGGCCGCGCGCGCCTGACGACCGCGCGCCCGCCCCCGCTCATCTCTGCCCATCGCCTTGCCCTACGTAGATATTATCTTGACGTCCTGCTTCATGGTCAACTGGGGAGCCGCCAGCGTCACCCGACGGTGAGTGGCAACATGCTGGTGCCGATGTCTCTCCCACTCATCCTCCACTGGCTCGGGCGCGCAGGCCAGGCGGACGGCGAGGCCCCGCGGCACGTAGACGAGCTCGAACGGCTGCAGCTCCCCGCTCATCTGCTTGGACCGCTTGCGTCACGTGTCCATGGTGAGCCCGATGGCCACGCCTTGGTCCTGCCAGTGCGGCCAGTACACGTTCCAGACGTCGCAGCGGGACTCCAGCGAGCGGATGACTTTGGGCCTCATCCACACCCGCAGGTGCTGGGACACCCACTCGTGTCGCTGCAGCTCCCTCCTGTCGGCGACCTTGCCGATCCGCATGACGGGCATGATCACGCCCCGGGGCAGGTAGAGCCTCTGGACGCCTGATGGCTTCCACGAGAAGCGCGTGCTGGTCTTCCGCCAGGTGCCCTTCAACGAGACGAGCTTGCCTGGCCTCAGCTCCCAGTCTGAGCCGTACACGCATCGCATCTCGGCGTGCAGGCTCTCCCAGGCAGACGGCCGCCTCCGCGGCGGCGGCCCCGCGGCGCGCGGGCCGAGGCCGGCCCGCCAGGGAGCGCCTGCAGGGCCTCCGCGTTCCCCCCGGCGCGCCGTCGAGGTCCGCCAGCGCCTGCTGCGCCTCCAGCGCATCAGGCGCCACCGCTGCGCCGTCGATCCGCCCTCGCTGGCTCGAGCGCCGCCAGATGGTGCACCCTGGAGCTGCGCAGAGGTCAGCCTGCGTGTGGCCGCAGTGGCCGCCGAGCAGCGCGCCTCCTATAATTGGTCTGCCCAGTCGGAAGCAATCCCCCGGCGGCCACACCACCAGCCCCGCCGCCGAGCCGGCGGGGGCTGCGCTAGGTGCCGCCATGCTGCCCCGTGCAGCCCCAGGCGCACCCCCAACCCGCGCGCTCCCCGCGCCAGGCTTGAGCCGGACCTCCTCCTCCTCCTCCACCTCCTCCTCCACCTCCTCCTCCACCTCCTCCTCCCTGCGCCATCCCACCTCACCCTCCTCCTCCGCCTCCTCCTCCTTCTCCCCTTTATCCGCTCTCCTCCTCCTCCTCTTCTTCCTCCTCCTCCTCCTCCCTCCCTCCCTCCCTCCCTCCCTCCCTCCTCCCTCCCTCCTTCCTCCTCCTTCCTTGGTTTTTCATCCGGAATCATTAGTTTTCGATGCCCTGGGGGCCTGGTGAGGGCCCGGGAGGCCGAAAATGGCCCAACATCCTCTGAACATGATCTTCCCACGGCGCGAGGACGTCTGGGCAGTGCTTCCATGCCCAGGGTCATCCCAGACGAGACTCCGAGGGGTCGGCCGACCGCCCTCGCTAGTAGAGACCTCCCAAATTGAAGGGGCCCTGGGACACGCAAATAAATAGACACAAATAACATGATTCCCCATATGTTCCGATATATGGTCGAGGGTTTGGGTCCCCCCCCAAATGCTAATGCCATCGCCCCCCCCCCCCCCCCCCCCCCCCTCCGCGAGATGCTCCCGCCCTCTGTGGGCGTGGGCGTGGCGTGGTGGCTCCCCCCCCCCCGGTGGATGTGGTGTGGGTGTGGTGTGTTGCTGGGGTGTGTGCGGGGTGACGCCATGGTCCTCCTCCCCCCTCCCTCCCCCCCTGTGGGTGCGGTGTGGGTGCGGGGTGGCTGGGATTGGCGTCATGCTGACAGCTCCGGTGCTCGACGTCGTCGCCGCCGCCGCTGGTGGTGACGTCGACGTCGTCGTCGTCGTCGTCGCCGTCGTCGTCGTCGTCGTCGTCGTCGTCCTCGCCGTCGTCGTCGTCGTCGTCCTCCTCCTCCTCCTCCTCTGCCTCCTCTTCCACCCCCCATCCAATCTGGGGGGGGGGGCCCGAGGACCCTGGGACCCATCCCATCTGGGGGGGGGGGGGCCGTGGGCCCAGAGCCCGCGATCATATATTCGGGTTTTTGTTTTTCCCCCCACTTCCCATATTTTCCAATAAATTCTGGGGAATCGTCGATTCATTGTGTCTGTGTGTATTCTCCCTCCTGACAAATGGGCTCCGAGCAGATGGGGTCGCATCGCCGACGCATCGGCGACGTCGGCGCGAAGACCATTCGGCTCCACATCGAGCCGCACCGCCGATGCATCGGCGATGCGGCGCTCTCCCGACCCCGTCTGCTCTGGCCCCGTGTGGGAGGCCCGACGACGACGGCGACGACGTCCCGCTCAAAGTCGGCTCCGGGACCCCTGCCGGGGCCCACTTTGACCTACCTCCCGGGGCGGATCCAGCCGCGGCGACGAGGCAGACTCCCGGAGGCCCCGAGAGGACGACACGTGCCGTGGATCTCCGCCGGCGTCTTGTCTGGCCGCAGGCGTCTGGCCTGGCCCCGAGGCCCGACGCTGCGACAAGAGGGCAACCTCGCGAAACTCACGGCCAGAGCTCTCGACCCCGGCTTCGGGCTGCGGCCTTGGCGCCGGGTCCATCGCTGCGAGGGTCCGGGGGCCCGAAGCGGGGCAACCCAGCGCCCGTTGTGACACGACTGCGGCGCCAGGAGATCTCTGGGGGGCCGCCGTCGCCTCGACGGGCCGCCCCCTGCGCCCCGAGCGGCTGCCCAAAGGGCGCTTCCAGGGGCAGCCCGCTGCCTGGCGCTGGGGGGGGGGAGAGGGGTGCCCTTTTTCGGCCCCCTTCCGGGCCCGAGAGGGCCCTTTCAGGAGCCCTACAGCCTGCAGGGCCCTTTTCGGCAGCCCTCGCTGCCACCGCCCCCCCATTCCTACAGCGACGGGGTCGGAGTCGGGGTCGGAGGATCGCGCCGCATCGCAGATGCATCGGTGATGCATCGGCGATGCATCGGTGATGCACCAGCGACGCATCGTCGACGTCGGCGATGTATCTTCGACGTCGGCGTGGAGACAATCGGGCCCCGCATCGAGCCGCATCGGCGATGCATCGGCGATGCGGCGCGATCCTCCGACCCCATCCACTCCGACCCCATCTATAGGAGGCCTAGAATGACGCGCCCCCCAAGCTGCGCCGCGTGCGCCCGCCGCCGGGGCGCGGCTGCCGAAGATGCCTCCCCGGAGCTTGGGCGGCATCGGCGCGCGCGGGGCCCGCGAGGGCCCGCGCCCCCCGATTCAGGGGGCGGAGGGCGGAGGAGGGGAGGGCAGGGCAGAAGAGGAAGATGGAGGCGTCTCACAATGGGGCCGGAGGACCCGGAGATCCTGGCATTGCAATTTCTTCCCGGCAGGCGTTTTCGTCCCGTTTAGGGCTCCGGGACCCCCGGGAAAACGATGCAGAACGATGGGCTCCAGGGCTCCAGTCGGGAAGTTCTGCGATCGCGAATGTTTTCGCAACGTCGGATCTCATGGGATCGCGTCGCATTGGCAATTCATCGCCGACGGCGTCGGCGACGCATCCGCGACGTCGGCGTGGAGAAGAGCGGTCCCCACATGGAGCCGCATCGCTGATGCGCCGGCGATGCGGCGCCATCCTCCGACCCCGTCTGCTCGGTCCCTAGACGGGAGGCCTAGAAAAGAGAAACCGATCAGCCCCCCTCGCGTCGTGAAGAAAGCACGGAGGGTTTGGGG